GAAGTGGCAGCCAGTCCTGCCCCAGATGCAGACAGGGGGGAACTTCACACTGCTGCTGGAGTGGAAACTAGTCGGACCACTTTGGGAGTCAGTATGGAAGTTTCTCAGAAAACTAAAAATGGAATTACCACGTGACCTTGCCATACCACCTGTCAGTGTTTACCCTGAAGACTCAGAGTTGACTCATCACAGAGAGACTGGCACCCCAGTATGTGCTGCGCCGAGAACAGAGCCGAGTAATGGATACACCGTGCTGTCTGTCAACAGAAGAAGGGACAAAAATGTGGTTCAGATTCATAGTCTGTTTTTTTTTTTTTTTTTTTTTTTCAGAGATAAAAAATAATGGAGTAAAGTCGTTTGCAGGAAAATGGATTCAACCACATTAAGCTAATTAAGTCAGTCTCGGAAAGACACGTGTCACATGTTTTCTTTAGTTTGTGGGCTCTAGTCTTTATAGAGCCATGAAGCCATATGTGTATAGATGACATGAAAGGAGAAGTAAACTGTCTAGAGAGCAAAGGGGCTGCTGAGATGGGGGAGGGGCAGAAGAGGGCAGTGGATATGGGGGAGTGTGTTTAAGTACATTGTATACACACATACAAGTTGTCTTGTGTAACCTTGTGTAATACATTTTTAAAGAAGATAGGGCATAATAGGTCCTTATGTTGTTTGGGGCTTAGGTTATTTTGTCATGACCCTTTGGATTGTCATCTACGCGTGTTTTTATGGAATGCTCAAGACCAGCCCTTCCTGTCCTCACTGCCTCGTGGCTTAGGGCTATTGCTTACTCTCCCAAGCATGCTTCCATCATTGCTGTCTGCGCCATGCCACCACCATACAACGCCATCACACAGCAGCACGCAGTACAAAGCCTGAACGATGACATTTCAATAGCCAGGTGGCCCTCTTCCTTCATCAGGAGGCTAGACCAGGTATTTGTTATAGCAACAAAAATTATCTGATACAGCTTGCTAAACCGCTGATGTGAAAATGGGCAGGGTATCCTGGCTTGTTCAGGTAGGGCCCTTGTAGTCACAGGCTCCTCGGAGAGGTAAGAGAGGAGTGCAGGGAGCTCTCAGACCACAGCTGCTGGCTTTGAAGATAGCACAAAGCCAGGGCATACAGGGAGCTGCAGGGAGCTGGAAAAGGCAGAGAGAGAGAGAGAGAGAGAGAGAGAGAGAGAGAGAGAGAGAGAAAGAAAGAAAGAAAAGAAAAGAAAAGAAAGAAAAAGATTCTTCCACCAAAAAAGGCAGTCTTGCCAGACCTTGGTTTATCCCCAGGAAGCTCTAACAAAGTGTCCAAACTCGGGACTTTTCCGGGGTCTCTGTCTCTTCTTGCCTAACTTCCTTTTTCCTGGAGGTAATTCAGAACTTTTCTTTGGCTACTAAGAAGGCAGACTATTTCTAGCACTTTTCCCATTTTCAATATCCAGTGGGTTTATGTTGATGGGAGAAGTTAGAAAGTTTATGTTGATGGTTTGAAGTTAGAAAGTTTCTGAATTGTTGGCATATTAAGTCTTAGAGGTAAATACGTTTTTATTAATTCTAAATTATTTCATATTTAGAAATGGAAATTAAGGCTAGGTGGTGGTGGGGCATACTTTAATCCCAGCACTTGGAAAGCAGAGACTCTGTGAGTTTCAGGCCAGCCTGGTCTACAGAGTGAGTTCCTGAACATTCAGGGTTACACAAAAAAACCCTGTCTCGAAAAAACAAAACAAAACAAAAAAATTAAGTAAAGGACACTGGCTTACCCCGATATGTATGTGCTATGTTTTTAAAAAGTCAGTCTCTGGCACCTGCAGTGCAAGTCACAGCCTGGAGGCTGGTAAATTATGGCTGTGCTCTGGATGAAAATGTCCTGTGTACCTTGACTCTGCCTGCATTGGGTCATCATAACAGCCACTGATTTTTACTGTCCTTATTTGTAAATGGAGAACCTGCAGAATAAGGCCTATAGGAGAGCGGAGGCCTGTGGGTAATGGTGTCACTCCTCATTGTGAT